ATCTTCAGCTGGTGGTAGCCTAATTGTAAGTCAATCTTTGAGAACACACAGGCTCCCCTCAACTGATCAAATAAGTCGTCGATCCTGGGAAGCGGATACTTGTTCTTGATCGTCAACCGGTTCATATCCCGGTAGTCGATACACATGCACATAGATCCGTCCTTCTTCTTATCAAAGAGAACGGGTGATCCCCAAGGCGACACGCTCGGTCGGATAAAACTGAGTCGTAACAGCTCCTGAATCTGTGCCTTAAGCTCCTGCAACTCCTTTGGCACCATACGGTATGGGGCTTTGGATACTGGACCGGCTCCTGGAATGAGATCGATAGAGAACTCCACATGCCGGTTAGGCGGTCCTCCCGGAAGCTCGTCTGGGAACACGTCCACAAACTCACGAACGACTGGAACATCGTGAGGTGAGCGTGCTTTCTGAGAATCATCGACAAGGCTTACCAGGTAACCCTGGCAGTTGCCTCGTCGCAGCAACTTAGTGGATTTTGCCATCGAAACAACATGAGGCAATGAACGATTCCTGGATCCAAAGAAAGTGATCGAATCGTCTCCCGGAAGATAGAGAGTAATCTCCCGGTCATGACATCTGATATCTGCATGATAAAAGGATAGCCAATCCATTCCGAGAATAAGGTCGAAGTCCCTCATCTCGAGAACAAATGCGTCGGTAGACAATACTCGGCCACTGATGGAAAGGCTAAGATCTGAAGCTTTAAATGAGGTCACTATCTTTCGTCCCGAGGCTAAACTCACCTCGAGACGATCGATAGCGGTGGTAGCGCAAACTCCGATGGCATCAAAACATCGGCGTGAAATGAAAGAATGTGTCGCTCCAGTATCAAACAAAGCAAACACAGGAACGTTATTAAGCACAACCATCCCTGACATGGTACCTGGCTGCTTCTCGGCCTCTGCCTGATCAACTGCATAGACTCGGTCCTACTGTCTGCCTCTCTGCTGCTGCTGCTGAGGCGGCCTCTGTGCCTGCTGACGTGGCTGCTGCTGCTGCGGTGGCTGCTGAAGCTGCCGAGGCTGTTGCGCCTTCTTCGGACAACGATTCGCGAAGTGTCCGGGATCGTGACAGTAGTAGCATACATCCTGACCAAAGCGACACTCGCCTCGGTGAAGTCGTCCGCATGTCGGGCACTGTGGGATCTGCTGTAGCCTCCGACGGGTCCTCTTATCCATCGGGGCACCTTTCCCCTTCCTCTTGTTGTTCTTCGGTGGCTGGGCAGCTGGTAGAGCTGGCATTGGTGGAACTGAAGATGACTGAGCAGGGGCGGATGGCTGAGGATGATCACGGACGGCCTCCCTCCTGATGCTGGCGTCCACCTCCTGGGCAATCGAAACAGCACGAGCATACGTCTGTGTCCCGTGGCCTACGATGTTATGATGGACTGCTGGGTAAAGCCCGTCAATGAAACGTTGTGCTCTCTGGGCCTCCATGCGAACCAAATCAGGAACAAAAGCTGCAAGTCTAGTGAACTCCCTCTCATACTCATCAACAGTACGAGTACCCTGCTGGAGCGATAGAAACTGACGCTCCATCTCTGCTCTATAGTAGCTGGGGTAGTACTTCTCGCGGATCAACTCCTTGAGCATATCCCACGTACATCCCGCCTTCTCGCCGGGACGCATACTCCAGTAGGCATTCCACCAGAGCCGGGCATCACCGGTGAGCTGAAGCTGAGCGCAGATTACGCGATATCTATCTAGGCAATCCATGACCTCGAAGATAAACTCAAGGCCCTGAAGCCACTCGTCCACAATACGGGGATCTCCCTGCCCGGAGAATTTCTCGGCATGATAGTCGCAGAACTGTGCGACTACTGTGGCCTGAGTAGGAGCCGGGTGATCGGGTTCCCTACGGGGCGGCATCTGAACATTGAGAAAGTTCAACATTATTGAACACGTGATAATATTCTGACTGATTACTAAGGTACACAAATCTCTTAACGAGTCGCCAAAAATGGCCGATAAATACTGACGTGAATCCTGAGGAACTCTAGAGTCATCTCGGAAAATACTGAATTCTAGAGTCATTTCTGAGTAGACTGATCTCTAAAGTCATATCTGAATCCTAAAGTCTGAATCTGATTCGAGCATCTTAACTAAGTCTGATTAATAATTTCTGAGCATAGACAAAGTAATATGTTTATAACTGAAAACTAAATCAGCACTTACCTGTATTTGGCGAGGCGTGAGCGTGACGGTTCAGGTTTTTCTGAAAATTACTGACTGAAAAACTTTTCAGAGACACAGAAACGTGCTCTGATACCAATTGTAACACCCCGACTTTTTACTGAAATCAGAGTACGCGTTTTTCGCAATTTTTCTGAATAAATAAATAAAATATTAATTTTACGAAAACTGATTCGGGATGCTACCGTGAAAACTTGACTTATCTGAAAACCGTTAAATTTTAAATTGAATAATAAAACGGTTATAATATATTAACCGACTAGAGTCGGATCAAAAACTGTTTAAAGGTACTGAAAGTTTTAGCGGAATAACAGCGTGGCAAAACATATATACATA